GACCTCATCTTGAGATGATCCTTCTCTCACCTCTCAACCTCGCTGACTCACTTATGTCTCAGAGCTCAAAACCAGAACGGGAGTGGCCTTTGGAAGGGGTCAAGGTCTACCTGGGAATCCGCAAGAAATTAAAGCCTCCGACACCGTGAGTTTTCTTCCCTGCCCACACTTCTAGGGCCTTCCTGCCATCACATGACCATCTGGCCTTTCTGATCACCCATCACTATTCTTTGCCTCCTAGGTGGGGCTTCACGTTAATATTGGAGAAGATGCATCTGTGAGTATCTCCCAGCCTGTCTTCTCTGGCCCATTCCTATTCCCTTTCCTCCATCTCCTTGCTCTTTCTACCATCCATCCCTGTAGCTGTGACCCCTTTCCCCTCCTGCTAATACCCCTCTGACCACACTCCCAGCTACCTGTCCTGCACTGATGAGGATGAGATGTGGGACTGGACCACCAGCATCCTCAAAGCCCAGGTGAGGACTCTAGGTCTAAGATCCTAGCTATACCCCTTCAGTACCTCCCATGCCCACCTGTGCCAACCCCTCACCCTCTCTCCAGCACGATGACCAGCAGCCAGTTGTCCTACGACGTCGGTCCTCCTCTGACCTCGCTCGTCAGAAGTTTGGTACCATGCCTTTGCTGCCCATCCGTGGAGATGACAGTGGGGCCACTCTCCTCTCTGCAAATCAGACCCTGGTGAGGTCCCCCCAGCCTATCCCAACCCCCTGCTGATCCCTGCCCACGCCTTTGACACTCTGTAGGAGGAAGCAGTGTGCCTTTCAGCCTGGTGCTGCTTTCTCTGTGCCCCCCACTCCTGTCTCCTGTTGACAGGACTCACTGTGTCTATGTCTCTCCCTCCCCTCTCCCCACCCCACCTGTGCCCAGCGGCGACTTCACAACCGGAGGACACTGTCCATGTTCTTTGTGAGTACTGTGCCTGCTCCAGCTGCATGCTCCAGCCCTGTGTTCCTCTGCTGCCTGAGCCAGGGATGCTTTCTATATTTGTCCTAATATATGCAGGCCATCTATGGTGGGGAGAGGGAGAGGGGAGTGTTAGGGCCAGAAAGAATGAGCAAAATGAGGGATGGTAGGATGTGATGAGGAAGGGGTGAAGTAATCACAAGATCTGAGAGATAGAAGGAAAGTAGTTAAGTGAATGCATTTTGGAATCAGACAGACCTGGGCTCAAGCCCCAATTCTACCATTTACTCACTGTGTGATTGGACAACTCACCTAACCCTTGTGGACCTCATTTCACTTACCTACAGTGAATCCATCATAAAGGGTTACTTGGGTATCATACTTGCAAAGTATTTTTCAGCATCTGGTCCAGAGCTTAATAAATACATCATATTTGCTGAATGAATGAATGAAGAATGAAAGAGCTCAATAAATGTTAGTGATTAATAACCTGGTAACTCTAACTCCATGCCTGCCTCCTGTCACCCCATCCAGCCAATGAAGTCATCCCAGGGGTCTGTGGAGGAACAAGAGGAATTGGAGGAGCCTGTGTATGAAGAGCCAGTGTATGAGGAAGTGGGGGCCTTCCCTGAGCTGACAGAGGACACCCCTACCTCCTCTGCCACCATGCGGGAGGAAACAGCCAAACGAGAAATCCCCTTTGCCAACCAGAGGTCCTTCGATCAATCCTTTCTCTCCAAGGCAAGAACCCTGGGCCAGGAGGAAAGGCCACCTGAGCCCCCTCCCGGCCCCCCTTCAAAGAGTAGTCCCCAGGCACATGGGACGCTGGAGGAACAGCTACTCCAAGAGCTCAACAGCCTCATGCTGAGAAAGGGAGAAACAACTGCAGGCCTGGGAAGCCCCTCCCAGCCTTCCAGCCCCCAAGCCTCAAGCCCCAACAGCCTTCCAACACAGACATCTGGCTTCCCCACCCAACCACCCTGTACTTCCAGTTCACCCTCCAGTCAGCCCCTCACATGATTCAGACTGGCAGTCTGAGCGGGTTGGTAACCCAGAGACCCAGGCTCCCACCATGGCTGACACTACTGGGGACTTCCTTGGCTCTGGCTGGAAATATCCCAGGATCCAAGTGGTGCTAAAAGCGCACAAGACAGAACTCCAGATACTGTGTTATGGTCCCTCTCGGCCTCAGCTTGTACCATGAGGTAACTGAGATAAGGAGAGCAACGAATGTCAAACTATTTCTCACAGCTTTAAGCCCTACATATTTTCCCTCAACAAGGACAACCTCTGCTTTACATATTTGGTGTGTAGGGGTTCTGTGAGAGATTTGGGTTTTAAAAGATTTTTTTTACTGCATCAAAAGAAAAAAGATATGGAAGGAAAAAATCTGAATGATTTCCAAGTCCACTGTACCCCACCTCTTACATCCAGCGACTACACTGAGGCCCTAGAGTGAGGAGGTTGATTGGATTTGGGAGCTGGGGCAAAAAGAAACCTAAAAAGGACCGGACACTGTTAATAAACCTTGGAACCAAAAAGATGCTCTTCTTTTTATTCATTCATTCATTCATTCATTCATTCGTTCAACAAATACAATGTACTGAGCACTTAGTTGGTGGCCAGATGCTGGGAATATTGTCTGAACCAAAAGAATGGGAGTCCCAGCTCTTATGGAGCTTCCAGTGTAGAGTGGAACAGAAAATACATAAATTCAGTACTATGAAGAAACTCCATCATAGTGATGTGCTTGAGATTGATTGTGGGAGGTGACCTTTAGGCTGGGCGGATATGGAAGGCCTTTGTGAAAAGATGAAACTTGAAGAAGCCACACATGTGGAGTGCTGGGAGAGCGAGTGTCTGCAGAGGGAAAGCAGCAGTCATGAAGGCTGCACAGGAAAGGGCCTGTTGGGGGCATGACTGAGACAGATAGATTGGGAAGCAGAGAAGAATAAGGGCTTAAGGGGAAAGATTCATAGGGCCCAAAAACATTTGAATTTTATTCTGGAGCAGTCAAGGTGTTCTAAAGCAGAAAATAATATCTTAGTTCCTTTTTTTGTTTTTCATGATCTTGGCTGTTTTTATATATATATATTTTTAAAAGATTTATTTATTTATTTATATAGCACTGGGTATAGTCAGAAGCACGGGAAGGTGAGAGAATTCACCAGAGCAAGAGCAGGGAGCAGAACAGGCAGACCGACAAAATACACTGCTGAGGGGAGCAGCGGGCAAAACAGGAGAGGTCTGCGTGCCATGTGGGACCCTCGCCCTGCGGCCGGGGATCAAACCAGCACTGCAGAGGCTGCAGGCAGCTTCGCAGCCCAGCGCTCACCGCTGGGCCATCGGGGAGGCCCCTTTTATATTTTTTAAAGATTTATTTATTTATTCATACAAGAGCTGGGGTGCAGGCCAGAGATGCGGGGGTGGTGGGGGTGGTGGTGAGAGGATTCACCAAAGAAAGAGTGGGGAGAAGAACAGGCAGATCTACTGAAATACACTGCTGAGGGGAGCAGCAGACGAGACAGGGGAGGTCTGCTGCGCCATGTGGGTAGCTCCCTGGCTGGGGATCAAGGGATGGAACTTGTGCTGCAAAGGCTGCAGATAGCTTCATAGTGCTGCGTCTTAACCCCTTGAGAACAGGGAGGCCCTGTTCTCCAGGGCCATCATCTCATATATCATCTCATAGATCTCCCTGTTCCTTCACAAGCCTCCCATCTCAGAACCCTTACCAAGCTGATTGTTGTCAGCTAGTTTTTGAAAGTATATTACCTGAATCATCTGCTATATAAATGTCCAGTATTTGTTTTCAACCATTCTAACTTGCTTTATTGCATGTAATTCTCTCACACTACCCCACTTTGTTGAAAATGGCTGTATTTCATCTTTACTTACGGTTGAATGGTATTCCAAAGGGTGACTATACCATATCATATTGATCTAATCATCTATTGGACACATTTCTTTTTTTAAAAAAAGATGCATCACTGGCTGTTTTGTGAATGATGACTTGGAGAGGGGAAGAGTAGAAGCAAGGAGACCAGATAGTAGACTAGGAGACTGAAAAATGGGAGTTTGGTCGGTGGTTTTGAAAACTGAGGGAAATGGATCAATAGGAGATATTTTTTAGAAATAGAACTTAGAGGATTTGCTGACAGATGGAATGTGGGGGGTAGGGGAGCAGACACACTGATTCTGGAGTTCTGACTTTCCTAACTGAATGCAGAGTAGTGTCATTTACTATGTTACCTGAGGAAGGATCATGTTGGAGACAATTTAAAAGTTTGAGGGTAACTATTAGAAATATACATGGCAGTGTCAGTGGGTACTGGATATGTGAATTGAGTTTGGGACCACAGGTAACTGCCTTTTCCAAGTCAGGGGTGTGGTGACAGGTCCACAGGCCAAGGTTGCTGAGCTGCTAGATCCTGGGGGTGCAAGAGTCTGAAGGGCAGACCCTAAAAGTGATAGGGGCTTTCTGGACCACAAGACCTTACGCTCATCTCCCAGTTCAAGACCCTCTCTAGTATTGTTGAGTTTCCATCGGCAAGGGATGGAAACTTGTCTTTTCCTCTCAGTCTGGTTCCTCTGGCTCCAGGCGTCTGGCACACTCCTGCTCACGCTGGCTTTTCCAGTTCAGTGGGAATTGGGAAAAGGTCTGGGGCCTGCCCTGTTTGCCTTCTCCAGATGCATCTTCGCTCAGGCGTCCCAGTGACTCAGTTTCTCTGCTCACAGATGGGTGTCCTCACCATTCCACACTCTCCGAACAGAGACCGGACATCTGCATACGTAAATGAACAACAAGAAATAATTACGGGCTGAGTCAGCGGCTCCACTAGAAATAGAACCCGGGCGTCTTGACTCAGAAACCTGAGGTATCCCCGACCGCCCCGCGGACGCGGCGTCCACTCGGCGGCCAGACCTCTCCGGGCATCGGCAGCAGCAGCGCAGGTCGCGCCGCTGGCCCCTCGCGCGCGGCCGCGGCGCCGCCAACCGGACGGCCGTGGGCGGGGCGGGGCGGGGCGGGGCGAGGGCGGCCGGGCCGGGGGCGGGGCTTCCGCGCGGGCGAGGCTTCCTCGAGTTCCGGAGTCCGGGTCGCTGCCCCGGCTGGAGCGGAGATGCAGCCGCCGCCCCGAAAAGTGAGCTCGGGCTGGGAGTGGGGATTCCTGGCGGGCCGGAGGGAGTGGCGGGGGCGAACGGGGGCCCCCGGCCCGTGGTCGGAGACCGGGAGCGGGAAAGGGTCTGGGCCCAACACTGAAGTAACCGAGGAAACAGCTCAGCCCCTCCCCGGCCCCGCCCCCTCGCTGCTCCCGGAGAGGGGTGTTTTTCTGGTCCTCCTGGCGCCCGGGTCTTCAGTCTTTTCTTACCCCCATAGGTGAAGCCAGTTCAGGAGGTGAAGCTTCGCTTCTTAGAGCAGCTGAGCATCCTTCAGACGCGGCAGCAGAGGGAGGCGGATCTGCTGGAGGACATCAGGTAGCCTCTGCCCCTCTCCTCCGCTGCACATCCCCTCACCTTCTCGGTCTTGGTCTTCATCTTTCCCCCAACCTCTGTCAGTCAAGGCGGGAAGAGGGAGGTATGCCCAGGGCTGAAGAACTCTTTAACCCGCCCGCGCATTCACATCCCTCACCCTAGGCCTGCCTCTCTACATACGTGAAAGAAATTACTCCCCCTCCTACCCTAGCACACATAGGCACACAGGGACCCTTCCTCATCCCCCTCCATTTCACACCATTCCCTTTGCCCCCACTCTCAGGCTTAGGGCAGAATCCTCCTCCCTCTTCCAGACCTGTTGGAAGGCTTGTGGAATCTGTACCCAGGCCCCCATCAATCCTCACCTCCATGCCCACAGATGGTTCTCCAGGGGTGGGGAGGATCCTGCTGAGGCTCTGAGCAATGAGGTGAGGTTGTCCTGCCGCCCCGAGGTGATCTCAAGGACGCTCTCTTCCCTCCCGGTGTAGTCACACTTAGGCTTGGCTCCCCTCTTCCTCCTGCCCAGGCTGAGGAGACATCAAAGGTGGGAGAACAGGATCAAACAGTAACACCAGCCCAAACCTAATTTCCACAGATCCTACAGCAAGCAGAGGGCAGCCATTGAACGGGAGTATGGGCAGGTATGGGACTCCTTTCTCTGAACCTTCCCTTTTGTTCTAGCCTCCATTACTTGACCAGCAAAGTCCCTCCACACATACCCCTATTCTGGTCAATGCCTTGAGTCAGGTGGATTTGTGTCAAATCACTGTTATGCTCCCTGTTAGCTTTATGTATTAGTCGTGTGAGTTTGGACAAGTCACTTAACCTTTCTTGCCTTCAGTTTCTCTCTCTATAAAACAGTAACAATTGTACCTACACATAGGGTTGTTTTAAGGATGGACTAAGCTAGTATTTGTAGAATACTTAGCACAGTGAGTGACACATAATATGGATCCAATAAATGGCATTATGTATTTTTTGTGTAAAAGAACTGGGGTGTAGACCAGAGGTGTGTGTGTGTGGGGGGGGTGAGACGATTCATCAGAGACAGAGTGGGGAGCAAATCAGGTGCATTTACTGAAATACATGGTTAGGGGGAGCAGTGGGCGAGACATGAGAGATCTGCTGCTCCGTATGCGGGTTAGCTCCCTGGCTGGAATCGAACTCAGGCCATAGAGGTGATGGTGCTGAGAGTTAACCCCTAGGCCACCAGGGAGGCCCCATGAATGGCATTGTTATATTCTAATTCTGTATTCTCTCAGTTGGGGACAGTCTTTGAAAGTAAACTGGCTCTATGATGACTTTCCCACTAGGCACTCCAGAAACTGGCTGGGCCATTCCTGAAGAGGGAAGGGCATCGGAGCGGGGAGATGGATAGCAGGTGGGTCCCATGGAGGAGGGGGATGGAGGTCTAGTAAGGGGGAGGGCACATGAGCTGCACACAGAGCTGACACAGCAGCGGGAGAGGAGCTGACCCAGCAAGGACACTGTGGGTGGGGGCGGAGGACATGAGTGATCCTTGTGGCTGAGCTAATGGGCTGATCGATTGATAGACTCCCAGACGCTGGGGGATGGGAAAGCACTCTGTCTGCCATGGTGTTGAGGTGGGGGTGGGGTCTCGTGAAGCTTTGGAGTGCTCCCCTCTCCAACACAGACCTTCTCTGGGGAGAGGCAGGATGGTGTTTGGTGCCTGGCGCTGCCTGCTGGATGCCACCGTGGCCGGGGGCCAAGCCCGGCTCCAGGCGTCTGACCGATACCGTGACCTGGCAGGGGGCACAGGGCGAAGTGCCAAGGAGCAGGTGATTAGGAAGGTACAGTTCAGTGCATGGGGTGAAGGAAGGGCTGACTGGGGCTGGCGGTGGTCTGCGTGAGGACTTTGTGTGTCCATGTCCTTAGGGAGCAGAAAACCTCCAGAGGGCACAGGCTGAAGTGCTGCAGTCTGTTCGGGAACTGAGCCGAAGTCGGAAGTTGTATGGGCAAAGGGAACGAGTGTGGGCCTTGGCACAGGAGAAGGCAGCTGATGTCCAGGCCAGGTGGGGTCATAAGGAGCTTGGGGTCTGGGAGGAGGTGGAGCTTAGGCATTACAACTGGGCCTGACCCTGATTCCTTTCCTTCACAGGCTAAACCGAAGTGACCACGGGCTCTTCCACACTCGAACCAGCCTCCAGAAGCTCAGCACCAAGGTTCTGGGGATGTGGGCATGATTTATATCAAATCCACATGAGTCAGGGCAGGGAAGAGATGGGCCGAGTAGTCTAGGGGTTTGAACCCCAGGGACCTAAGTCCAAGAGGCTGGTGGAATCCAGCTTTCCTATTTCCTCTGTGGGTGACTGCAGTTAACTAACCTGATGTCTCTGAGCTCCATTTTCTTTATCTATAAAGTAGAAATATTTATTTTTGTTCTGTTAGCATGCATTTATTGAAGACTTCTATATACCAGGCTCCTTGCACTCTTCTGTAAACACCGAGGATAAGTGGAGAACCATGGAACCAGTGGAATTCTGGCCCTCACAGCTTGGTTAGGCGAGGCATAGTAAATAAACTCATAAGCAGGTTAAATGAAAACAACAACAAGGTGCTGTGACAGAGGGTAACAGAGGGGTATAATTTAGAGGGAAAGCCTCTTGGAACAGGTGGCCTGAGTGTGGCAAAGGAGCCGGTCATGCAAAGATCTAGGGGAAGAACATTCCAGGGAGAGAAAATGGTGAACACAAAGGCTCTGAGGCGGGACTACTATGTAGGCTCAAAGAACTAAGAGAAGGCTGTTGTGGCTGGTGCACTGTGAGTGAGGGAATGAACATGTGAAAAGAGGTCAGAGAAGTTGCAGAGGCCAGCTCATGCTGGGCTTGATAGATTGTGGTAAGGAGCAGTTGGGACTTCATTTTAAATGTATGCAGAGGCCATTAGGGGATTTGAGCAGGCTTTGTAAGTCTGTGAAGTTTTTATTATAGTGCTGGGTTAAGTACTCAGTGTGAGAATCCATTCTGGATCTGGGTTGGCCTTGAAAGGATGCCAAGATTCCAGGGCTTCCTGTTGACACCTGTTTCCCCCTCCTAGCTATCTACCCAGTCGGCTCAGTACTCCCAGCAGCTGAGAGCGGCCCGCAATGAGTACCTGCTCAACCTGGTGGCCACCAATGCCCACCTTGACCACTACTACCAGGAGGAACTGCCAGCCTTGCTCAAGGCCAGTCCCAGACCAGATGCTCCTACCTCTCAGTAGGGAGGGAGGGGAGGCCTCTCATTGCTTCTCATTACCATTAGGCTAGGTGGTGCTGGGATCCCAGCCTGTCTGGAGGGCGGGGGGTGGGGTGGGGGGAAGAAACATCCTTGGATTCTGCTTCTACCTTGGACACTTAATCCCTCGGAACCCCCAGTTTCCTTATTAGGGGTAACTTCTCTGCCTACTTAGTTAGACCGGTGGGGCTCAAGGGCAAATGGATGTGAAAATGCTTTTTAAACTGTTAAGTGCTGTGTACACGAGGGCCTATTATTAGAAGCAATGATAGTGTCTTATTCCTTCTCTATTTCCCATAATGCGTGTCCAGCGCCAGTCCAAACCTGAACAGGCAGCCTGTTTTGCAGTAGAGACCTGGGGGAAGGTGGTGTCAGTATCTTGGGATTCTCTTTAGGCCCTGGTCAGTGAGCTGTTGGAACACTTGCGGGACCCCCTGACCTTACTGAGCCGCACTGAGCTGGAAGCTGCAGAGATGGCCCTGGAGCACGCCCGCCGTGGCGGGCAGGCAACCTCCCAGGTGAGAGCTGTGACCTGTAAGAGCTTCCTGGAAGTCTTCTCTCCCATTTTGTGACAAAGCAGACCACCCCACTGAATATCTGACCCTTTCCTTCTTACCTTGTCCTCTTCCAAAAGGGGCTGGGAATAGATGGAGAGAGGGAGCTAGTTAGTGAGTGACTTTAACTTTTCCCAACCCCCAGGTAAGCTGGGAACAGGATCTGAAGCTCTTTCTTCAGGAGCCTGGAGTATTTTCCCCCACACCACCTCAGCAGTTCCAGCCAGCAGGGACTGATCAGGTGAGACCTTCCTGTTTGCTGGAACCAAGCCATTGTAAAGAGAACTATGGTTTAGGCCTCTTGCCATTGTCCTTGTCCTGTTAGTTAACTTAGGGACTGTTGCAGAGGGGGTGTTTCACAATTCCCCCTTACCTCCTTCCTACCAGGACACAAATTAACAGATTTCATTTTCCTGTGTCCCTTCACTGCCCTGTCCTCTTCATTCCCTCTCTGGCCCTCAACCCAGATCCCATTTGTGGGACTCTATGTCCACAGACATAGGTGTGTGCCCCACCTCTTAGCCCCTGTTCCTGGAGGTTGGGGACAGAGCCAGGAAACAAAGGTGGGAACTGGAGGGAAAGGGAGTAGAGAAGGAGCAGCATCTGACCTTCCTTTCTGCATCCCTTTCCTTCAGGTGTATGCCCTCGAGCTGGAGGGAGGCGCAGGAGGTGTGGCTGGGGAGAGCGGCCTTGAGAAAGAGATTCAGCGCTGGGCCAGCCGGGCTGCCCGAGACTACAAGATCCAGAACCATGGGCGTCGGGTGAGGTGGGGGTGTAGGTGTCGTTGGTGGGCAAGAGGCTGAGAGATAAGGGTCCTAAGAGATGAGTCACTGGGGATGTCATTGTCCCTTTTAAGCCAACATTGTGGCACAGTAATTAAAAGCAACTTTTGTAGCTGGAGCCACATAGGTTCAAATCCTGCTCTGTTACTTCCGAGTTATGTAATCCTGTGCAAGGGAAGTGACTTAATTTCTCTGATCTCAGTTTCCTCATCATTCAAGTGGGACTCACAGTACCACCCACCTCCTAGGGAAGATTGGATGACATAATGCATGTGTAGTAACTAGCACAGTGCCAGGTCCACAGTGACTTGCGCCCCATGGCATCTCCACCCACCCTGGCCTCTGCTTTCCAACCAGGTACTACAACGGCTGGAGCAAAGGAGGCTGCAGGCTCCAGGGCGGGAGGCTCCAGGCATCGAACAGCGGCTACAGGAAGTGAGGGAGAGCATCCAGCGGGCACAGGTGAGGTACAGCCCTGGGGTTTAGGGCATTTGAATCTCACCCCATTGGGTAACACCTCTTCTACCCCTCTGTCTGCTGGTGTGGGGGGATGGATATATTTGGGCAGCTTCCACTCACTTCCCAAAGGCATGCCCAGCCATAGCCTGGATTGATCCCTTTCCCCCACGCCAGGTGAGCCAGGTGAAGGGTGCTGCCCGGTTGGCCCTGCTGCAAGGGGCTGGCTTGGATGTGCAACACTGGCTGAATCCAGCCATGACCCAGGCCCAGGAAGAGATGGAGCAGGAGCGACGGCTTAGTGAGGCCCGGCTGTCCCAGAGGGACCTCTCTCCCACGGTGAGTGCCCTCCGCTCCTTTTCCACACCTATGCAGGAGGCTAAAGCTGCCCAGTGAAGGACAACCCCTATAACGTGGGAATCGCCATAATACCTGAGTCAGAGAGCTGTTGTGAGGCTTAAGTGAAGTCATTTAAGTATTATTCTTTGTGTAGTTTGCAGCAGAGTCCTCAACAAACTTTTATTATGAGTATAGGAGTATAGCCTTATGAACTAAGGCTCTTGGGCAGACTGTAAATAGTTCCAGTGCCAGTCTCTCCACCTTCTAGCCATGTGATCTTGGAAAGTGACTTCACCTTTCTGAGCCTCATTTTCCTCATAAGTAAAATGAGGTTGATAGTTAGACAAAGTAACATTGGGTTACTATGGAGATTAAATGAGATGATATACAGAAGATACTTAGTTTTGCGCCTGGCACATCATAAGCACTCAGTTGTAATTCTCTGGTTATTGTTACCATTATCCTGCTCTGTGACTTTGCTTGGAATACATGGTGAACACCTTGGAGGTGTTCTTGAGGGGGTAGGGATGGAGCTACAGGAGCTCCAATGGGTACAAGCGTGGACTCCACAATGCTGTCTGTTCTTTGCCCCCACTAGGCTGAGGATGCTGAGCTCTCTGACTTTGAAGAATGTGAGGAGACCGGGGAGCTCTTTGAGGAACCCACCCCTGCAACGCTGGCCACCAGGCCCCTCCCATGCCCTGCACATGTGGTGTTTGGCTATCAGGTGTGAATGGCAGTGGGCACTTCAGACCTGTAGGGATGGGTGGGGGTCAGCCAAGTCCTGAATCCTTCCTTGTGGGGCCCAGGCAGGGCACGAGGACGAGCTGACCATCACAGAGGGCGAGTGGCTGGAAGTCATAGAGGAGGGAGATGCTGATGAATGGGTCAAGGTGGGTATGGACCCTGGACTCTGATCTTGACAGAGGGACAGGGGGAGGGACTTCTCTGTGGTCCACAAGGACCCAGCCAGGCTAACGAGAAGCCTGAGTGGAGGAAGACCAGGGCCATGGACTGCTGAGCCAAGTCTGCTCTTTGTTCACATTGCTGGGTGAGCAGGCTCGGAACCAGCATGGCGAGGTAGGCTTTGTCCCTGAGCGATACCTCAATTTCCCGGACCTCTCCTTCCCTGAGAGCAGCCATGACAGCGACAATCCCTCAGGTGCAGAGCCTACAGGTAAGAAAGGGTAATCTTGGGGGCCCTGTATAGAGGAGAGTTACTGAGTAGTTGTGACCCTGGGGTGTCATGGTTACCACCTAGGATATCATCATCCCTCTTTCCCCCTCGTCATCTCTCCTGACCTTCTGCAGCTTTCCTGGCCCGCGCCCTGTATAGCTACACAGGGCAGAGCGCAGAGGAGCTGAGCTTCCCTGAGGGGGCGCTCATCCGCCTGCTGCCTCGTGTCCAGGATGGAGTGGATGATGGCTTCTGGAGGGGAGAATTTGGGGGCCGTGTTGGAGTCTTCCCTTCCCTGCTGGTGGAGGAGTTGCTCGGTCCCCCAGGGCCATCTGAACTCTCAGACCCTGAACAGGTGAGGCTTCCAACCCAGGGACCTCTGGGTTGACTTTCCCATCCCAGTGAGGCCCCGTATTCCTCTTAATGTTTGCTACCTCTCTCCAGGTTTACCTTCTATAGTGGCTTGGCCTCCCTCTCTCCTTTGGCTGGGCAGAGAAAAGGGAAATCATGGCAGTCTTCGTCAGAGTTCAGTGGTCCTACTTTAGTGTTGAATCAATTTCAGTTCAGATTCCTATCACGTTACCGTGGGCAGTGATTTGACCTCTCTGAGCTTGTTTCTTCATGTGAAAAATGGAGATAATGATATCTATTCAACAGGCTAACTATTGTGATTAGAGATAATGAGGTAAAGCCCTTAGCAGAGTGGCCATAGAAGGCACTTAACCTGACCATCACCCTCAACATAGGAATCGTAAAAACTCTACGTCATGGGGTGCGGTGAGGAATGAGAGGATTCCTGCATATAAAAATCTAGTGGAATGCCTGGGACATAATGTTAATACATATTAGCTGTTGAAATTTGTACCAGCTACAACTCCCACCCAGATGCAAGCATTTGGCCACTCTCTGTGTTGGGAAGTGATGGGACACGGACTAAAGGTGGGATGAGAGGAAATGCTGGTGAGACCTTGCTACATGCCAGGAATAACTCTTTGCCCCATCCTCAGGTGCTGCCATCCCCCTCTCCTCCCAGCTTCTCCCCTCCTGCACCCACTTCTGCTTTGGATGGGCCTCCTGCACCTGTGCTTCCTGGGGGTGAGTACAGTGTATTAGGGGTCCTGGAAGTGGGAGAGACAGCAAGACAGAGGCTGCCTGGGACTCCTTGGTGACAAGTGGCTGTTCTGCCTGCCCTCAGGAGCCTCCTCCGTCATCCATGATGGTGAGGAATGTGGGCTTTGCAGCCAGACTCACTGTTCAAACTCCATTCTATGACTTCTTAGTGTATGATTGGGGTAGACTGTTTAACCTGCCTGGACCTTTACAGACTGAGGAGAAAGGTCTCAACCTCATTGAGTTGTAGAGTTAAAAAGATGTCCAAAGGGTGTCCAGCTGTGTACCTAGCACATAGCAAGCACACAAGCAGTAGGTGTTCTCTCATTATTGTTTAAAAATTAGCTAGCTTCTCCACGGTGTTTTCTTTGCATCCATCCTCTGCTCTTAGGGTTTTGGAATCCTGCAAACACCTTGCTTTGTGTCATTTTCCTTTTTTGGAATGCCCACCTTTTCTAAAACCTTTGGTTCTCCCAGCTCCTTCACAGCGCCTCTCTTCCTGAGCCAGGAGATCCCCTGTGAGCATTTTCTGCACCCCTTTCTTCAGCACCCATAGTTCACATTGAATGATGTAGCACTCAGTCAGTCATTGTGTGTTTGTTGGCCTTCCATTATCAGGTTCCTGTCAGCCAGTGGGGCAGAGGTGCATGGATCCCACCTCCCCTTTTCTGGTATCTTGAGGGAAAGCTGGTTTTACAGCAGGTGTCCAACAATTGTTGAGGATGGATGGATTTTATGACCCAAGTTTGTGACTATATATTAACTCAACAAAGATTTACAGAGTGCTGTTGTCTTAAGTGTGGGAGATAAAGCAGTGAACAAAAGGTCTGGAGACTGACTTGTGGTTCTTGTTTCCAGACCAAGACCTAGACTGTCCTGGATCCCTGAGCATGATGGTACCTCGACTCAGGCCGGTAAGGGCCCTTCCGTTGGAGGAGAATGTGTGGAGAGGAGTTATTCCAACTTTCTTGCTTTATCTGTGGGGCTGAGGGAATGGATAGGGATACCCCCTATCTTCCCAGAGAGGCCTCTGGAGCACTAACTGTGTGTTCCCTACAGATGCGTCCACCACCTCCCCCACCAGCTAAAGCCCCGGATCCTGGCCACCCAGATCCCCTCACCTGAAGTCAAGGGGATCACTACTCCCCAGTGCTGCTGCTGTCCCTGTCTTCACGCTGTCAAGGACCACCCCCTCAATGATCTGGAGCAACAGCCAAAAGCTGGAATCCCCCATTTCTACTCTCACCTTCAGGGAGAGAAACTTCCCCTTTCCCCATTTTGGGGGCCAGAACCCACTTCTTTTTCCCCATCATCTTTCTATCTCTAGGGCTGGAACTACTCTCTTTTGCTACCACCCTATTTCTAGGGTGGTTCAATACGCTGAAATCTCTGGGGCTAGAACCCATCCCCAAAAGTCTTGAGTGGCTCCAGCCCATCTGTGTATCCACCCTGGCTCTGTGGCCCACCCCACTCCAGATGCCAGGGTCACTGTGGTTGGGGGCTGTTAGAAGGAGCTGGAGCCAGTATGCGAAGCAGCTGTAATGGTCTGAGCGGATTTATTGACAGTGAATAAAGGGCACAAAGCCCAAGCCAGGGCCTGGACCTCTTGTGCCAAGAGGGCAGGGGGCCTAAGGTGCTATTGCTTTAGAGGCCCGCCAAGGGCAGGGGCCTGCTCCCAGCTGTCACGCTCTAGCATATGGAGCGAGATGATAGGGAAGGCAGGTTAGGCAGCCTGTTGGCAGGCAGGGGAGGGGGATGAGACAGAGATGGGGGCTGGGGGGTACTTCTCCTGAGATCCCCCAGCCTGAGACCATGCAACTCCAGGTGGAAGTAGGGCTGGTCCCTCAGCAGGAGGGCAGTGCTGTCCAGTGGAAAGGAGAGGCTTCAAGCCCACCCATTCCCTGGCCCTGCCAGCTGGTAGTCAATCAGTCAGCACAAAGAAGAATGAGGCTTGGAAGAGAGGAAGGGTAACAGTATTGCCTTCTATTCAAGCTGTGCCTCAGCTTTCCCCCAGGGCTGCAGAACCTTCCCCATCCCCATTACCCACCACCAAACCAAGGACTTTGTAGTAAAGGTTAAGCCTACAATTTATGCCGGGAATTCAGGAAGCTGGTGGGCTTAGGTAGTGTTATCTAGGGTGGGATGATGGGATTATCTGGGTTGGGCCTCAGGCCGACTCACCTCACACACCTCCTGTTCCTCGTGGGGAGGATACCTGAGAGAGAGGAGGGTAAGCGATGGGAGAACAGGAGGTGGGTTGTTATCAGTGCCCCCAGAGTTGAACCCATCACAGCCCATCATCTTCATACCTGGTGGTCAGAGGTGTCCAATTTGCTTGGCTGTCCATTTGCCTCCTGACTGGTGGGCCCTGGGCTTGGGTCTTTCCCTCTGGCCCCCAGTGTTGGCTCTGAAGAGGCTCCAGGGTTCCCCTCAAGTGTACGAGGGACTAGGCTGCTGTCCCTGAGTCCTCCATTCTGTACTGGTGGGGTGGCAAGGGCCTGGGGCCTCTCAGGGGGCAGGTTCTCAATGACAGGTGTCCCTGCCCCGGGCTGCCCTCCCCCAGACCCTTGACCACCTCCTGGGTCCTGCCCCCCACAAGAACCCCAGCTCCTGTCTGTGGGGGAGCCATCGCGATGCTCATGCAGCCCATAGCGCTTCTCAATGTGTGTCACCCGGAACCTGGGAGAGGAATGAACAGTGGGGCTTAGGAATACATCTCAGAGGCTGCTTGGCCCTTCCCTCTAGCCAGGGACATCCTGGAGTTGATGGGCACTTCCCTCTGACCTAGGGCAGGAGACACATCCTCAGTTTGTGAGGCACATTGTGAGGCCTGACTCCTGCACTGGGGCTCATCTTTGAAATCAGAGGCCTGATCTTTGGGGCTCCCACCTCAACCTCCCTTTTCCCTGGGGCACTTTATCCCCACCTGCCCACAGAAAACACGGTGGTCTCCCCAGGCCGGGGACGGCTCTTTCCTTCCTTGGAACGTCCCTGACGGACAAGTGGGGGCCTCTTGTTGCGGCTGCAGTGGATGCAAGGGGCTGCAGAGCCCAGGTGCACTGTGTGATGATGCGAGGGGGCTCCGTCCTGGAGGCTGGAGGTGGCATCCACGCTGGACAGTAGGGAGGAGGGGAGCAGGGGTGACATGGCCATTTTCCTTCTTGTTCCATTTGCTTCTTTCAGAGATGCCCCACTTTCCCCAGGCCACAACATTCTTTCTCTTGTCTTTAATAAACTCAGTATTAAGATGTTAGTGACCATATGTTTTCCCTCCCGGGCTATTTGGTAAAGAGGGTAATATTTAACCCAGAGGTGTGTGGACTAAACATGGTGATCTCCAGATGGAAGATAGGGTTTGACAGACTCACAATTTCTACAGAGCTTTCTTCCTATAGATTAATTAGCCTTGCCCTCCCACCCCACCCCAAACATGCAAGGAGACTGGGAGAGGATTGTGCTGGAGGAGAGGGTACTCTCCAAGGCAAGCGAAGTCATGCTGGCCCTTGTTTCCAGCTCACCTGGACAGCTGCACTGTCCCTTCTCCTTCACTATCCCCCAGCATCTCCTTCAAGGCCTCAGCATTGGCTGAGGGGAGAAGGAAAAGAGGGAGTCAGTGGAGGTGGAGGTCAGGGCAAGAGAAAGTCAGGGGTTGAGGAGCAAGGGGCTAGCTCAAACCCACCTTCATTTTGGATGATGCAGCGAACAATCCTCTCTACTGTGTCCTCATTCACGTCATCGTCCTCAGCTGAAGGATGAGAGGGGTTGGCAAGGAAGGGGAAAATGAGTCAGCTTTAGGAGGACATTACTTGGTGGCTTCTGTGGCTTTTTCCTCAAAACATACCCTTTTGCCTACTTGCCATCATGCTGGATGTTAGCATTTCAGGGGGCAGGACAGAAAAAATAGGGAAGTCAATGGGAGCCAAGACTACCATCAGTGGGCCCTACCACCTTCTGCCTGCTCTAGTCTAGCTTTCAAGATGGTGTCTTCCCACTTGCTGACTCAAGAAAACATCTCTAGGCTACCTGAAGGTTTGGTCAGGGTTTGGCCTGGGCCTGTTGGCTAGGAAGCCAAAAAGAAGTGTGAGGAGAGGGAAAAAGGAGAAAAATGAGCCAGATTCCGGGCTCTTCACTCACGAGGCTGGAGCTGGGCATCGTCAGGCTCTGAACCCCTCGAGGTGCGGCAGCGGTAGCCCTTCTTCTTAAGCACGTGGCAGATCATAAAGCCTACAAGGCCCATGAGGAAGAAGACCAGCACAAGCAGGAAGAGCATATACAGCCCATGCTGGGGCGGTTCCAGGTCAGGCTGTGGTTCCGACATGAGGCCCTGGAGGGCGAGCGCGGGCCAGGGTGCCTCCTGGGGTTAGGGGGCTGCAGCTAAGGGTGGGGGTGGGGACAAGAATGCCATCCTCAGGATCCTAGGAGGTCCAGCCCCACCCTCTACCCAACCAGGGAGCTGTCCCAGGGATGGGTGCTGGTCCGGACCAGGAGTACCAGACGGCCGCTGCTCAAGCCCTCTTCCCCGACCCTGGTCTCTCTTTCCCGACGCCCCAGAACATTCCCCACTCTCCAGCTTGTCCTGCGCTTCCGTCCCTCCCAAGGACACTGCAGCGCGCGATGGGACAGAATTCTCAGGCGGCCGGCGAAAGAATCTCGCCTGAGTCAGCGTCTGCACCTCCTCCGTGCGGGCCTGAGCCAGGCCTCTGCTGCCCCCTCCCCTGCCTGGACTCTGGAACACCCCTTCCCCCACGTCGGATCCTCCCATCCTAACCACCTGGCCCACCCGGTACCGGTGGTGTGCTTCTGGTTTCGGCTCCGGCTCCGGTTCTGGCTTCAGGGGCGTCCTAGTCCGGCTCAGGGCCCCCGACGCGCTCCCGGCGCTCATCCCTTGCTTCCTCCCCCTCCCCCCTCCGCCGCCTCACCGGCTCGGGGTTGCCGCTGCGGATACCGGCGCCGCGGCAGGCGGGGGGAGGGAAGGGAGGAGAGGGACGCGGACCGGCTGGAAGCAGCGGACGGCTCCGGGACGACTGCGGCTCTGGGAAGGGGAGGAGATGGGGGCACCGCAGCAGCCGCCCTGTGTTCCCAAATCCTTCGCTCGTGGCGGACCTGGCACCAAGGGGCGGAGCGCAGGTGTGCGGGGCGGAGAGCCAGGGCCCTGCGCGCCTGTGAGCGCCGGTGTGGGGCGCGCGTGACTGCCCTGCCCCCCCTCCCCGTCGCGGGCGGGAGTGCGACTCCGAGCCCGGCCCGGGTGGGGAGGACAGGCGGTCTGGCGAGGGGGCACTCCACTGCTTTGCCCGGCGCGCCTGGCCCAGTTGCTGCCCTCAGACGCTCCGGCCGCGGGGACAATCAGGAATCTTCCCAGCGGACCCGGGAGAGCCGGCTCTCCGCAGCTGAGATGGGCGGCGCGCTGGTTCTCCGGAGCCTCCTAGAGAAGTGCCCACGACCCGCTTGGGGCAGGAGGCTGGTCGGGCTGGCTCGGCTTCCCAAGGACTTGACCCTCGTCCAGGAGGAAAAGGCCCTTGCATGCTAGGACCGACGCTGCCAAGCCTCAAGCCAAGCCCGCGCGCTAAAGCCCCAGAACCTCGAAGGTTTAAGACCCGCGAGGGGCGGAACTCCGCAGGGGGCGTGGCCTGGGCGTGGCCTAGGGGCGGGCGCGGGGCCTCCGGGTTCCGCAGCTTGCGCGCTGACAGGCTGCGTGCTTACGCAGCACGCACCGCCGGGGGACGGGCCGGCGACAGGGCGGGCGGCGGACTCGCGGGCCTGGTCCCGCCGGCACCATGGCCAAGACCGTGGCCTATTTCTACGACCCCGACGTGGGCAACTTCCACTACGGTGAGGGAACAAGGTTGTAAGCGAGGGGTTTCGGAACGCGGAGGTTTCAAGTCGGGGGCTGCAACTCCAGGGATGGGAACTGACGAACTCTCTTACCCCTAGGGGCCGGGCACCCTATGAAGCCCCATCGCCTGGCGTTGACCCACAGTCTGGTCCTGCACTACGGTCTTTATAAGAAGATGATCGTGAGTTCCGCCGCCTCCGCTGGGGATTGAGAGGGTGGCGGCAAACTGCGGCCTTAGGGATAGTTAGGCTACACTGGATGCACCAAGGGTGACCTACCCCTGGGGTGGGGGAAGGTAGATAGAAAGAACCAGGAGCACCCCACATATTAAGTCTGCTTCCACAGACTTAGTGGGAGTGTTTCACTTTGGGAAAACCACCGTTTGACCTTAGGTGAACCAACCCACAGCTTAGTACAGGGGTGGTGGAAACTGGTTTAGAGAGAGTAGGTCTTTTCCTCCTTAGCATCTCAGGATGTGAGCAGTGCTGAAACCTTAGGGAAGGAAGAGGGTCTGGATCATTTTATCTGGATGTGAATTTACATTTAGTTCTGATCCCTTCTCCTCTGTCATTTCTCTCCACCTTCAAGTAGCTAGACCTTCAGGGAGGACGCCACAGTGTGTGTGTGTGTAAATGTGTACATTTGTATGTATGTGTTTGGAGGAGAACAGGAGATGTCTTAGTTATTCCCTTACAATAGAATATCTCTACACACTTCTACTTAATCACAGCCAAACTCTCCTTTTCCTAGATAGTCAGAGTGCCTGTCCGCAGCTTGTAATTTATAGCTGTAATATGTGTTTAAGACAGTTCAGCTAAGCCCTGCTTATGTGTTTCAAGGGGAATTAGTAAATAGTATAAACAAGTGTCCATTTCTTGTGCTGAGGCACAAACAAGTGAATTGGTAATAGAAAACACTGATGTGATGTAAGTGTGAATCTATGAGTCACTTAAAATCATTTTCCAGTACATACCTGTTTGCATTTTCTGGGGAGAGAAAATCTTTTTGTCCTTGCCTAATTTCTAAAGATAATACCCCTCAGATGAGAATAAATCTGACTTAACACCTTGGCACCTTTGGTCTTAATTAGAAGGTTGTTACATATCCCATATTATTTGACTCCAAAATTAAGAAGAACTCTGAGAAGAGAGAGGACAGAACCCTGGGGACACAGTGACTATGGAAAGAATCAGGAATAGGAGATATAGGGATAGGGCAGGTGGATCAGGGCTCAAGGATGAGAACGTGAAAAAGGTTGGTCTGGAGGTGAGAAGGAAAAGGTAAGCCCACTGGTCTTCAGGTTGCTTAATAATAATGACATACCTGGTTATTATAAAATACATATATGTGAAAATAAAGTATGTAACAAATATGTAAAGTTAAAGTAATAGGTAATAAATAATTATAGGTATAGTAATAATATGTAATATAATTAGTGTCTTTTTCACTGACTCTTGCTTCATAGAATAACTAGGATTGGGGGTGTGGTGAGGTGTCTGATTTAACAGTCAGTGCTCAGGACTGGGTTCAGTGTGGGTAATCTCGACGCCATGAATGGGGTTGATCCTGCCTTGTGTTTCCATCCCGAGGTCTTCAAGCCATATCAGGCTTCCCAGCATGACATGTGCCGCTTCCACTCTGAGGACTACATTGACTTCCTGCAGAGAGTCAGCCCTACCAATATGCAAGGCTTCACCAAGAGCCTAAATGCCTTCAACGTGGGCGATGACTGGTAAGGGGAGGCCCAGACTTCTGATGCCAGGCACTTTAATGTTAGACATTTCAGGGGGAATATTTGAATGAGGTCTTGTGGCAGCAGTGGGAAATTATGAAGGGGGGAGCTACTTGCTAATGAATCATGATTTATGCATTTGTTTAGTCAACAGATATTTATTGGTTATTTGTTAGTCCAGACCCTGTGCTAAGTGCTAGGGATGCAGTGGTAACAACCACAACATGTTAGTATTCAATTGTTAAGTCCAATGAAGGAGAGGTACGTGACACAAGAGTTTGGATGTGGGAAATTTATCCAGCTTGGGGTGGGCTGCTGGAAGCTTCCTAGAGGAAGTGATAAAGACTGAGCTAAAAAAAACATCAAGGAGATCTGGAAAAGCAGTGGGAGGTAATAAGGTAAAAGGTGCTTGGGAGGATTGGGGGCGAGGGCAGGAATTTAGTGAGCAGTAGGGACATTATGTACTAAGCATTCGTGGTAGATAATGATTCATTTGAGAAAAAGGAAAAAGGTGGCTACAGAATATGAACAGAAGAGTGATATGAATCAAGATCAAAGTGGGGCCTCCCCAGTGGTGCAGCAGTTGAGCGCTGGGCTGCAAAGCTGCCCACAGCCTCTGCAGCGCTGATTCGATCCCCAGCTGCCAGTGAGAGTCCCACATGGTGTGCAGACCTCTCCTGCCGCGCCCGCTGCTTCCCTCAGCAGTGTACTTCATCAGTCTGCCTGTTCTGCTCCCCGCTCTGGCTCTGGTGAATTCTCTCACCCTCCTGCACTTCTGACTGTACCCAGTGTTTGTATAAATAAATAAATAAATCTTTAAAAAAAAATCAAAGTGGTAAGCAGAGCCTTTGAAATAATAAATGAGCTTTACCCCTAGAATAGAGAGAAATCAAGGTGTCTTTAAAAGCAGGAAATTGGGGCCTCCCTGATGGCGCAGTGGGTTGAGCGCAGCTCTGTGAAGCTATCCACAGCCTCTGCAGCACTGGTTCGATTCCCGGCCAGCCAAAGAGATACATGGCACAGCAGACCTCTCCTGTCTCGCCAACTGCTCCCCTCAGCGGTGTATTTCAGTCAGTCTGCCTGTTCTATTCCCCGCTCTGTCTCTGGTGAATCCTCTCACCCACCGCACCACTGGCCTGTACCCCAGTTCCTGTATAAAAATAAATAAATCTTTAAAAATAAATAAATAAGTGAAAGCAGGAGAGTGGTTTGACATGATCATCTCATACAAAGAAGACTCAGGCTTAGGCCCTGTGGGGAGGCAGGGGACAACAAAGATAAGCCCCCAGCCTTCTTAAATTCTAGATGTTAATGTAGTGACCATAACATCTACCATTTACTCAGGTTTTAGTTGTTTTTTTTTTTAAGATTTGTTTATTTATGCATTCAAGAACTGGTGTACAGGCCTGAGGTGCAGGGGGTGAGAGGATTTGCCAGAGACAGTGGGGAACAGAGCAAGCAGACTGATTGAAATACACTGCCGAGGGGAGCAGCAGATGAGATAGGAGAGGTCTGCTGCGCCATGTGGGTGGCTGCCTGGCCAGCCAGCGATCGAACTCGTGCTGCAGAGGCTGTGGATAGCTTCATAGTGCTATGCTTAACCCGTTGTGTCACCAGGGAGGCCCAGTTTCTAGTTTTTGATTTGAGAAAATTTCAGACATTTCTGAAGTGGAATAGTATAGTGGATTCCTGTGTGTCCATCAGCCAGCCACAGTACTTAAGAACCCATCATATTGACCCCAATCACCAATACTTGTCTGCATTCTCCCACATTTGATTATTTTATTTTATTTTAAAGATTTATTTATTTATGCATACAAGAACTGGGGTACAGGCCAGAGGTGTGGGGGGTGAGATGATTCACCAGAGATAGTGGGGAGCAGAACAGGCAGATTGACTGAAATATACTGCTGAGGGGAGCAGTGGGCGAGGCAGGAGAGGTCTGCTCCGCCATGTGGTTAGCTCCCTGGCTGGGGATCGAACTCGTGTTGCAGTGGCTCAAATAGCTTCATAGGTTGTGTCTTAACCCCTTGTGCCACCAGGGAGGCCCCCCATTTGATTATTTTAAAACAAATCTCAGAACTCACATCCTTTTATCTGTAAATATTTTGTGATGTACCTCCAAATGATACTTTAAAAAAAAAAACACTGACATTATCACACCTAAAAAAAGAGCACTAATTTACTAATTTCTTATATCATTAAATGTGCAATGAGCATTCAAGTTTCTCCAATTGTCTCATTTTTTTCTTTTTTGCACTTGATTTTTTTTAAATAGGATCTAAACAAGGTCTACACATTGCATTTGGTTGACATATCTCTTAAGATATTTAATCTGTAACATTTCCTTTCTCTTGGATTTATTTCTTGAAGAAGGGAGCTTATTGATCTTACAAGGTTTCCTACAATAGTGACCATTTGTTAAGTGCTTACTCCGATATGCTGTAGATGTGTTGGGGCATCCATGTCTTTCTCACACCAACTCTGTGATGTAGCAGTCCTTTCCTTGATGTTATGCATAAGTAAACTGAAATTTAAGGAGATTTATGTAACAGC